TTAGCACTTTGTCATATAGCTCCGGTTGAGCAAATAGCTGACGTACTGACTGGCAACGGTAATATTTAGATCTAATGTTCTTGAGATGTTTGCACTCAATCAAGATGTGTTTCACTGTCAAAGGAACATGACAGTGAACACATTCCGGTTGAGGCTCTCGCTTCAAAATGAAAATATGAGTTAAAAAAGTATGACCAATGCGAGAGCGACACAAAACAACTTCATCCCTCCTGTTGGTTCTATAGGAGTTGGGCCAATCTCCTAGGAGAGGCTTAATGTGATGAAGTTTATTTGTGCCTGCAAAATCCCAAGACCGTTGCCAGCGGTCATAAATAAAATGATTTATACACGAATTAAAATCTTTATATGGTATTAAAAAGGGTGATTGGGGAAGATCTAAAGCAGCTTTGGCAGCAAAATCTGCTTGATCATTCCCCCTTATATCTACGTGACTGGGGAGCCAGCAAAAGACGACGTCTTTACTGTTGAACTCGTATGATAATAGCAGATGATAAACATCTGCTACTAATGGGTGTTCAAGCTGTTTGTTGTTAATTGCTTGAAGCGAGGACAGAGAATCAGTAAAGATGATATACTTTAAAGATGAAGAGGATTGTATGAACTCCAAGGCCTGAAGAATGGCCTGGAGCTCAGCTGTAAATATTGAAGCAGCAGGTGGAAGACACACAGAAATGGTCTCAGATGGCGTCACGGTAGCCGAGGCTACCCGATCACCATCTTTAGAACCATCTGTGTAAATAGGAGCATAATCACCATACTTAGACCTTAACTCTCTAAAGAGAGATTGGAACACCGTAGAGCTAGTATCTCTCTTTTTATGTTGAGTTAGATCGAAATCGATCTTTGGGGGAGATATAGCCCACGGTGGAGTCCTAAAGACAGGGGTATTCGCAATACTGTCAAGGCTGATACCAGCCTCAGACAAAAGGGGTTGTATGCGAATACCGAATGATGGAATAACATTAGTCTTCACCAGATACAAATGCTCATAAAGAGGTCTAAATATGGTGTTAAATGAAATGTGATTCGGAAGTGATGCTATTTTCGTAGCATACTGCAGGGCCAGTTTATCACGTCTGTTGTGCAATGAGGGCTCATGCGCCTCGACGTATAAACTGTCCACTGGAGATGTACGAAATGCTCCTAAACTGATTCTAAGTCCCTGGTTGTGTATGGTGTCGAGCTCTTTGAGATAAGACTCGCGGGCAGACCCATACACAATACACCCATAATCGAGTTTTGATCTTATTAAAGCTCGATATAATCGGAGCAAGACCTTACGGTCTGCTCCCCAGTCAGTATTTGATAAGACTCTCAATATGTTGAGGGCTTTCAGACATTTCTTTTTTAGGCTTTTAATGTGGGGGATAAATGATAATTTCTTATCAAATATCAGCCCCAGAAATTTGGTTTCATCCACAACTGGAAGGCGGTTGCCATCCAAATAAAGTTCTGGATCTGGATGCAAACCTCGTTTCTGACAGAAATGCATGCAGACAGTCTTGGATTTCGAAAAACGAAATCCATTTTCGGTTGCCCATTGTTGAAGTGAATTCAAACAAAGCTGCAACTTACGTTCGATTATCCGCATGTCTGTAGAACCATAGCACATCTGAAAGTCATCAACATAAAGAGCGCCGTTTGTACCTGGTTTAAGGCACGCTGGGATAGTATTAATTTTAATTGCAAACAATGTTGGAGATAAAATACTTCCCTGTGGAACTCCCATTTCCTGAGGAAATGGGTCAGAGAATATTGATCCCAGTCGTACCTTCGACTTTGAATTCGGAATAACCTGGACTGCAACAGTAATTTCTGAAAAAATTAAAATTGGTCGAATGCCAAGGTCATATACATTTTCGGAATCCTTGACCCCGGGTTTATTCTCTAAAAAAATTTATCAAGGTCGTCTGAGGTCAAATTCATCACTTAAATGAACCAATTATCATTTCCCATCTTCAACGGCCCGCCATTTTTTAATTTCATCTCCTTTGACCTTTGATTTTATTTTACATGAACAAAGTCAAGGTTAAGGAGTTCAAAGATAAAAACTTTTTTTGTCGTCGACCTTGACCTTTAAGAGGTCGAAAAAACCCAGCTCAAGAGGTAGAATTTTTGGATGACCTCAGATGACCTTGAACTTTTTTTTTCTTGAACAAGGTGGATGTCAAGGATTTAAAAAAAGTACATGTCATGAACTTTTGTAGTACTTCGAATTGCAGTTGCATTTCGGACTTAGCCGAAATCTTATATATAGAATAAATTGAAGAGGTAGAATTTTTGGATGACCTCAGATGATGTTGAACTTTTTTTTTCTTGAACAAATTCAAGGTCAAGGATGCCAATAAAGTTAATGTTATTGACCTTTGACATACTTAAAATCGGGTCTGTAGACTCGGCCTTTGGTATCACTACTCTTTGAATTTTTAAAAATCAGCTAAAAGGGGGACATGCCCGATACCTGTATGGGCACATCCCCCAAGTTCACAGGAATACGCTGAATCGATTTTGTACCTCCCCAACCCCCGGGCGTGGCTGTTAGGGCTATTGCTTTATGTCCCTGGCCTTAAGTCCCACGTGGCCTTAGGTCCCATGGTCTTAAGTCCCACGATTTGGCCTTATGTCCCCAAAAGTATATAGACAATAGACTCAAAATGTAGAATTTTTGGATGACCTCCGATGACCTTGAACTTTTTTATTCTTGAACAAAGTCGAGGTCAAGGATTTCAAAAAAGTACATGTCATGAACTTTTGTAGTACTTCGAATTGCAGTTGCATTTCTGACTTAGCCGAAATCTTATATATAGAATAAATTGAGGAGGTAGAATTTTTGGATGACCTCAGATGACCTTGAACTTTTTTTTCTTGAACAAAGTCAAGGTCAAGGGTTCCAATAAAATTAATGTTATTGACCTTTGACATACTTAAAATCGGGTCTGTAGGCTTGGCCTTTGGTCCCACTACTCTTTGAATTTTTAAAAATCAGCTAAAAGGCGGACATGCCCGATACCTGTATGGGCACATCCCCCAAGGTCACAGGAATACGCTGAATTGATTTTGTACCTCGTCCATCCACGGGCGTGGCTGTTAGGGCTATTGCTTTATGTCCCAGGCCTTAAGTCCCACATGGCCTTAGGTCCCTTGGTCTTAAGTCCCACGATTTGACCTTATGTCCCCAAAGGTATATAGGCAATAGACTCAAGAGGTAGATTTTTGGATGACCTCCGATGACCTTGAACTTTTTTTTTCTTGAACAAAGTCGAGGTCAAGGATTTCAAAAAAGTACATGTCATGAACTTTTGTAGTACTTCGAATTGCAGTTGCATTTCGGACTTAGCCGAAATCTTATATATAGAATAAATTGAGGAGGTAGAATTTTTGGATGACCTCAGATGACCTTGAACTTTTTTTTTCTTGAACAAAGTCAAGGTCAAGGGTTCCAATAAAATTAATGTTATTGACCTTTGACATACTTAAAATCGGATCTGTAGGCTCGGCCTTTGGTCCCACTACTCTTTGAATTTTTAAAAAAAAGCTAAAAGGGGGACATGCCCGATACCTGTATGGGCACATCCCCCAAGGTCACAGGAATACGCTGAATCGATTTTGTACCTCGTCCATCCACGGGCGTGGATGTTAGGGCTATTGCTTTATGTCCCTGGCCTTAAGTCCCACGTGGCCTTAGGTCCCTTGGTCTTAAGTCCCACGATTTGGCCTTATGTCCCCAAAGGTATATAGGCAATAGACTCAAGAGGTAGAATTTTTGGATGACCTCCGATGACCTTGAACGTTTTTTTTCTTGAACAAAGTCGAGGTCAAGGATTTCAAAAAAGTACATGTCATGAACTTTTGTAGTACTTCGAATTGCAGTTGCATTTCTGACTTAGCCGAAATTTTATATATATAATAAATTGAGGAGGTAGAATTTTTGGATGACCTCCGATGACTTTGAACTTTTTTTTTCTTGAACAAAGTCAAGGTCAAGGATTTCAAAAAAGGACATGTCATGAACTTTTGTAGTACTTCGAATTGCATTCGCATTTCAAACTAAGCCGGAATTCGGAAAAATGTTTATATAGGGGAAATACTCATGAGGCAGAATTTTTTGATGAATTGGAAATGTTCCTAAAAGATCTCGCTGTGAAGCCAAATGATGTAGCTTGCGGGAACGGATGTCATAGATGCAATGAAATCAAATTCGCGTGGGTACGCAGTCTTATAATAAGCAATAAACACTGTGGGACTTAAGGCCAGAATGGTGGTCTTTAGTCCCACTACTCTTCGATTTTTTAAAAATCAGCCCCACGGGCAACAATCCCGATACCTATGTGGGCATGTCCCTTTGGGTCCCGCGGATACGCGAAAAAAAAAATTGTATCTCCCCCACCCCCTGGGCATGACTTATGGGCGTTTCGCCTTATGTCCCAGAGCTTGGTCTTATGTCCCTGGCCTAATGTCCCACAATTTTGGCCTTAAGTCCCACGGGGGACATGAGGCCAGGGACATAAGACCAAGTGGGACTTGAGGCCAGGGACATAAGACCAAGTTGGCCTCAAGTCCCTTTCAAAATGGGACTTGAGGCCAAGTTGGTGTTATGGACCCAGACTTATGTTCCATATCTGGCCCTATGTACCTGAGGAATATAGCCTAATGGTTTATTCGGGTACCTTGAAATGGGGGTCGAAATTTTTTTTATCTAATTCATAGACTTCATTTTGAAAATAGTATAAATATCAGAAATCATTGGAACAGACATATTGCTTCCGGTTACATGGCGGGCGATTTGATGATTTACCAAAAAGTATATTTACCAGTTAACAGTGTTTTATTAAGTCATTATTAAACGGAACCTTGCAAATCACTTTACTAAACTCCTTCTGGTATAAAAACGTCTCTAGAATTCCCGACCAGTGCAGCCGAGTGAAATATCTTTTGAGGAGACTCATAGTGTGTTTTGTTATATTATAATTCATTCTTACCTTAGGATCGGCGGTGTTTCTATAACGCGTAAAAATTATACTTTGGAGAGAATGGTTAGTTTCATATATCCATTCCAAATCAATCCTTTGACGTAATGTACTGATCACTGGATTCTTGGTGTAGTTCAACTTAACATGTGGTTCTAAAAGAGATAAACAACACAGATAAGCTGATAGCGTTTAGTAATGACAATTATTGTCATCAAATCATACAAATGGTCATTATTCTAAACTAATGTTTAGTATGTATAGAAAGTGGTTAGAAATAATATTTGTGTAAAAGCGTTACTATTTATAACACACATCACTACTGAATACACAAACCCGGACAATATCATTCGATAGTCACGGATTTAACACCTTAGTGACATAATTATGTTTCGGCTTATGCTGCCAAGATTTAGCAAACATCCCGTGTTTGATTTATTTCTGGTCAAATCTGGGAGCCACGAGGACTCGGTTTCATCCTCGTGTTTACTGAATTTTCCAGCCCATTTCTCAGTGTAGCAGAACCTGGCAAGGAACAGCGTATATTCATTCGTAATGTACGAATCTCCGCTTACAACATTCATGGTTGGAATCCCTCTCCATTTGGCCGGCTGGTGCAGAACTTTAGGACGTTAAACCCCATTTCATTACAACGGTCATTAAATAATCTTAGTAGACAGGCAGAACTAATCTTAGTAATACGACCAGACGGAGGACCAGACGGAAACGAGGTTGGATAGGCGACCTTATTCCTCGTCACGTACAAGCTGGAAATCGAAGCCACGCCACGTAATTCAAAGAAAGACCTTAGACCACCCACCCCAATTGTCAAGAGTGTTCATGATAATTTGAGAGAGCTTTTAACATCAAAGAGTTTTCACTGCAGATTTAATGTTTTCTTCCAAAAGACGACATATAAATAGATACTTACCCGATGCTACTGAACTTAATGTCATCAACAATAACAGGACGATATAACTGAAATATATATAAACTCATTATTATTAAGTGTTTGTGAAGCATAAATTCTTGCAGATATGCAACTACAATGTCGGAAGTATCTTATACTAACACACTTAATGCATTATTCGCGATGAGAAGTAAAATCAGAGCCGGACTAAAGAACCAGGCAAAATAAAGTTGAAAACAATATAATTCTAGGGGGGCTCATCTCCTAACAAGCGAGTCGTCAACTAGGATTTGAAGATTTTGTATCAGAAATTTTGCGTGATAAGATGTCCAATGTCACTGATGCGACGAAAGTAACATGATTCCCACCGCTTATGTGTTAAAAATACTTACGGTTTTCGTTGGTAGACCGTAAAAATTGAGTTAAAACTAGAACAAATGGATGACAATAGAGGTGTACCGTTTTCTCCAGATTTCACAACTTCACTTTTTTCTGTTCCAGTCACACGTCTTCTAAAAATATCAGACGTGAGACTGATGCTTCGAAACATTTTTTGGTTTCTTCTCCCTTTTTCCTTTGTGTGCCATTGCCCTGGGGATGTTGCAGCGCTTCCAAACCACCCGGGTGTATCTACTATACACCCAGATACAAACGCGTTATACTGTAGAAATCTGTTTACAACTTCATCTCTTCCTACCCCAGTTCCAACTACCACTACTATTCGCAGCCTTATTGGTTCTACTACCCTTTCCACTTTAAGTCCCTTGTTCTTTTCCTCCAACTCCCGCGTTTTTCCTTCAGCTTCAGCTTGGAGACGTTTCTTCGGGGCTTCCACGGTCGTTTTCTGCCTTTCTCTGCACTCCTCATTGAGTCTTCTATACTGTTCCACCATCTCACGCATTCTTCTCTGGTTTTCTATTATCCGCTGTTCTATTCCAATCCACTGCTGTTTTCTTACCATTTCAAACACCTGTGTTTGGAACTTGAGTTCCCCCTCTAGCCGATTCTGTCCTATTTTTTGTTCTTCTATTTTCCCATCTAAATCAATACGTTTCTTATGGTTCTCCACGGCTAATTTCTTCCTTTTTTTATTCTTCTCGTCAAGTCTCCTTTTCCGGTCTTCTATCTCTTTGTTTTTTCTTTCTTTTTCTCGCTCTATCTCTAGTCGCCTTTCTTCTAATTTTCGTTTATTTCGTTGATTTTCCTCGTCCTTCAATCGTTGTTTTTCCGCTTCTTTCTCAACCTTCTGTGTTTTTTCTTTCATTTCGTCTTCGAGTTTCCGTTCTTTCTCATCGAGCTCCCTTTCTCTCTTATGTTTCTCCTCCTCTATTTTCTGCATCTTTTCTTTAAAGATTTCTTCAGCGGCTTCATACATGGTCCCTGTATAGTATTTACCATTATTACTTTGAATGGATCCCCTAAACACTTTCAGCACATCTTCGACATCTTTTGCCAGATTTACAGGATCGGCATAATTATTAATGGCAACACAACGACCTTTACATTCGTCTATGATTGATTTTATTTCTTCTGGACATTGGTCTAAATACTGTTCTAGCGTAACATCTCCACAATCCAATTTATTTTTACATGTAAAAACTACAAAAACGTGTGGTCCTGGAGATGTCAGACCGATACAGCGAACCATTTCTGTTACAGTTTCCTTATTAGATTTCCTTGTATTGAATAAGCCTGGTGTATCCACCAGTTTGGATCCATCTTCTAATATTTTAGCGCCAAACGCACATTTCGATGCTACAGACTTTCCAAATGAGGCAGACTCAAACGCCTCATATTGTAGCAGGCTGTTTCCGACCTTACTTATACCCACTCCAGTTTTACCGACCATTGCAATTCTTATTTCTGGAAATTAAAAAAATAATCAAAACTGACCCTATCCAAAAAGTTAATTTGGATCACATACCAACCAAAATGAAACGAAAACTGTCACGCCTTTGAAGACTCTGAACATTTTCTTTTAATTTGTCCCTTACGTTCAGATGTCCGAGAATTGCTTGGCATCCATTTCGTTTGGTGATTAGGACACATAGCGGTTAAACCTGGAACTTCAACTCGAACTATTCAGAGATTTATTAACTCGCTTTTGATGATACTTGCTGTTTTATGATGCGATTTTTTGTTACCTAGGGAGGAGTTGGCCTAGTCGTGCCTTCCACTAATTCGTACCACCCTGATGCCAGCGTTACTGGTAAGAACCAGGAGACCGGCGCAACCGGCATATAATGGGGCCCTCCGAGGGCAGTGTTTAATCTAATGAAATACTGAAATCTACTGAAATTTACTGAAAACTAAAATTAAAATACAAAATAAAATATGGTCAATGATGGAGGTAGACTGATTGCGTCTTTTAAAACATTCAAAACATAATAGGCATCAACAAAATTTTAGAGAAAAAAAATTGATCCAAAACCAGGCTCCGGGTTACCTATTTAGGGTGTTTTCCGGTATTTAGGATGTTTTCCGGTATTTAGTGTTTTTCTGGTGTTTTCCGGTATATAGTATGGCCCGGCGATAGTGTCGCTGCCCGGGCTATCGCCGGGCCATACTATATACCGGAAAACAACCGGAAAACACACTGTATTGCGTATGCCCGTCTTCATTAGCCCAGTATAGGAGCAGAACAGTAGGACGTTAAACCCCATTTCATTTCGATTGCGGTCCCAATTTCGCCGTTAGCAATGGCGTCACTGAGTGCACTAAACTGGAAGCGGAAAGACCTCATGTAAGAAATTAAATGGAAAAAGTTAACTTCAATATACCTTATAATATTTCATTTAAGATTTATGACGCTATTTAAAAAACAATCGAAGAAGAACCGGAAATTACCTGTTAAGTTAGCCGTGGAAAATAGAGCACAATATTAACCATGATTTATTCTTTTAAATGTTTAAATTGTTATATTCAGGAACTTTATCTGGAGAGAGTCATCCCCAACAAAAATGTTTTTAAATGGACTATAGACTGTTTTAACTTTAACTCTACTGAACTCTCAAACATATTTTAATTAGAAATACTTGCAAAAAACGACTAGTATGTAGTTTTTACTATGAGAACATCGCTTTTCCACCAAGCAGGCGAATTTTTTTACCCACTGATAATTTTCTATCCGTATTGACGTTACCAAAATCATTTAGCTCATTGAGTCAACTGGCGTGGTTTCGATTCGCCGGTTGAACGTGACAAGGGGTAGGGTCACTTATCCAACCTCGAGGGTTTTCTCCGGGCACCCCAGTTTCCTCCCACTGCGAAAGACCCATACGCAAAAGCAAATTATTGAAATGAAAATGAATAATATGTTAGTCACGAAATGACCTAGTTTTTGTCGAGTGGGCGTTAAAAGTCCCCCTGTGTTCTCACAACAGCAAAGTTTTAACACTTTGTTTGTTCTTAAAATGGAATTTGTTTATACCAATAAATTGTTTTAAGTTATTATCCCAGTTTTATTACCCCCTCCTTCTTCTGTACATAACCTCAATTAAATCAACCTGTTGCGATTTTTTGTGTCAAAGCTTCAATCAATTGTTTTAGCCTCCTTATTTTTAAAATTTCACAACATCTTTAAAATATAGGTTTACATACTGTAATTAGGAATTTACCCACCTTTATGCTGCTACGATGAAATATAATTCTAACCAAGGGTACGTTTACTGAAGAACGCTGTCAGTGACAAACTTCCTTGGGTTAAGGTGTCTCTGCGCATATAGCTGAGCAAATGACAGGCCCGCAGCAAAAGCCAAATTATATATTAGTCGGTATTGTATGCAATAATTGACATGTGGTTATTTTTAAATGTATTTCGCTACGGGTGGGTAAATAGCATATCAATAAGTACAGCGTAGAAATTTAGGTAGGAATATTTAAGCATGACTACACACAACAATATATTAAAATTATATCGTGCTATGCAAGTCGTTATGCAAGTCACGTTGTGGTATTGCTTGGTAAAATATGATGTACTGACACAGTAAACTTATACTGTATATTTATACTATTAATCTTAATTCTCAGTTAACATTAAATTTGGTGCCAATTTTATTTGGCAGTGGAAGGTAAACTGGGGGACTCGGAGAAAACCTACGGTGATGTACATGTGGCCCAACTCCTTGCCACGCACAAGCTAAAAATCGAAAGCACGCCACTTGACTCAATGATCCGAAACGCAAAATCATCTTCTTTACATTAACAACTATGTTTTTGTTAGAATTTCACGAAAGGGAAGGGGGGGGGGTACAATGAACAAATATATATGTCTAGATTCCGCGTCCTCAAAGCAACGGTTCTATTCAATTCCAAAGTTCCTACCAATGTTTTTCACAAATGGCCGGGCAGCTCGAAAACAATCAAAACCGGTTTTCACCTGAACAGAAGACAATATACCAGTCACCCTGCCATTTTCATATTTTCAAAAGATATTGCCACCTAACTGATTTCGTGCGAGTGATGGAATATAAGGCAATGACCATTTCTGTATTTCCATTAAGGTATACCTAGTGACAATTGTCAATGCCTTAGAATAATGGTTAACACTGAAACTCTTGTATGGAATGAGATATGTGCCACAATCAAAACACCACAGAGTATAGAGAACGCCAACCTCTAAATCGATATTATCAAGTCTTCGGCATTGCAAACACGAATTATTAGTTCAATATTGATATATTTATCATTTAAAAACGTAATAAATGCAATCAATTACAATGGATATATTAGCTCATGAATAACGTTAACATGGTTACGCCTAAAGGTGATTATTATAAAATAAAGACCAGATTATTTAAATGGGGGGTCAACATGTGTGTTACACATGAAAGGGCGATTCTGTATATATTGGGTGTTCTGTATGCTATACAATAGTTTTACTTTTATAATAACTTGTATTTATAACTGTTTGTGTATAATAAATATTATAGATCTGTCTGCCTATAGTATAACTAAGAAATTACGTTGTAAGGGGATTTGGGAGTACTACAACCTATGATTACTTAGAATTTCAACTGTCAAGGGTTCTTTTACGTGCACACAACCTCGATTTTTTTTATCCAAACAACTAGACATGTTTCATGGATGGCCTCAGTCATAAGCCACTGAAGAGGGGAAAACTACGTTATATTGTGGTCATCTGTACCCAGTAGATGTTTGGAATGAATATTATCTAGTTGGAACATGAAGACGTAATAACATGTACTAGTGTAAACACCCATTGATTTATATCACTAAATAACTAGAACTGCGATGCAGTAATGAAGGGTTTCACCGATGCCATGTTACCCTTGAACTTATGTCACTTCCGGTACCAATGACAGATTTCCACATAAGCATTGCACACGTGTTATAAAATGGACGCAGAATAAACCAAATCCAGCAACATCAATTCCATTTATTACCATGTGTTACATATGTTAAAAAAGTATTCCTGACAAAATTTGTTACTAAATTTTAAAAAGTGACCCTGACAAAATTGGTTATTTCTCAGTAACGGAAGAAGTTTGAAGCAATTTGTTGATATCCATAGTATCTTATTAAATCATTCTATATGTTGGATGAAATATCATAATTTTAAAGGAATATTGAATAACACTCATTTGAAGAAGATATTTGTTTTGAAGGCTAAAAATACAGTTTTTGTAAAAATTTGTCATTTTCAGTAAAAATAAATTTTTGAAATTAGTTTTGTGAAATCACAAATGGCATTAGGCATCAAATTTTAAAACGTTTATGAAAATCAAATAATAATTAACACTTTTATGGACCCAAAACTGTTAAAAGTGACTTGCAGAAAATCGGCTATTTCTTCACACAACTGAACAATTTAGAAACCATTTTGTGATATCTATATGACGGCATGGTTTCATTCTAGTTTTTGAATCGAATTAAATATCATAATTTTAAACACATAAATTGCACTCAAATGAATAAAATATATGTTTTGAAAGCCAAAAATACACTTTTTGAAAACATGGCGTCACTTCCAATGTCAATTTTTAATTCTGCTCAAATTGATATAATGCACATTTGCTTTATGCATCGAATGGTGTCACTTTTGTGAAGATCCAATAACAATTGGCTCTTTTACAAGCAAAATAACGTGAAAATGATACGTGCAAAATGCACATTTCTCGGCAACCGCTCATATTACAAACTAATTTCGATATAGATTGTCTTCGTATAGATAGATGCTACAAGTTTATGAACATTAAATCGAAATATTTTAAAATATGAAAAGCCAGAATGGGTTGTAAATTGCTTAATTTTACTCGCTTTTTCAGTTTAAATCGAAATGGCGCAAAGACAAAACCCAAATTAAAAAAAATTGATTTCTACATTTTTTGCGCTTGTCATAGGGGCATTCTTCTTGATCTATCAGATTTGGGGCATTCTTCTTGGTCTATTAGATTTGTAAAATATTAACATTTGCTTGCGAAAAGACCGGCAAAAATTGTAAATTCTTGCAAAATCTAGTCACTTCCGGTGCCTACAGAAAACTTTTATCGGTAACCAAAAAGTTGAGAATGTGCACGATGAAATATACAAACTTTGTTTTATACATATCGAGCAATAAATAATAAACCTAGAATCCATAAACTGAAATTAAAATGCGAAAAGTGAACCTGACAAAATTGGTTATTTCTCGGCAAGGAAAGATGATCGTATTGATCCAATTTATATGTGCATTGGAATTAAGTATCATAATTTCAAACAAATAATAAATATAACTTATTACAACAAAATATCACTTCCGGTGATAATGAAAATGTTAAATTAGTTCTATGAAATCATAAATGGCATAAGGCATCACATAGTGAAAATTATATGAACATCGACTAATAACTGACACTTTTATAGACCAAAAACCTTGAAAAGTGACTTGTAGAAAATCGTCTATTTCTCTGCGACCGTACAAGTTAGAAACTATTTTGTGGTGTCTGTATGATCGTATAGGTTCGTTCTATTTGTTAATTGGAATCAAAAATCATCATTTTAAAAACATTACAAATAAGACGCATTTGAATAAAATATCTGTTTGTAAGGCTAAAAATACAGTTTTTGACCAAATGACGTCATTTCCGGTGACATTGAAAATGTTAAATTTATTTGACCTTGTCAAAATTGGCATTAGGCATCAAAAGATGAAAGAAAATTGAAAACCGAAGAATAATAATAATAATAATCGAATAATAATATTACACATACATTCTCTTCGTATGGATATGCAGGCAGGATATCTTGCACCGAGTGGGCTGGGCTAATGAAGGCGGTCTAGACTTCAATTAATAGATAAACACTTCCTGTTTAGCATTTAGAGGGGTGTTATTGTCCAATATACATGTCCTGAGATCCTTAGGACCCAAGACGTGATAGCACTACTCATATAGTGTTCTTGTCCTTCTTGTTCTAGTGATGGCCCTCTTCGAAAAAGCCCAAGGCTCCATCCATTGGTATGCTTCTTCATTGTACAGTTCTGCATCGATTTGATGAATTAGATGCGTGAAGTTCACCAAATAACATGGTCAGTTCCTGCTCCACAAACCGATCGTACTTGTTTGATTGACGGATAACAATTTCTCCGACAAACAGCACATTTCAAAAATACATGATCTGCATTTGTGATGTTTATATCACTTGTTTCACAACAAGTTACATGTTGCTCGCCTGCAAAAGGTCTGGGACGCATATGTTTTAAGTGCCCCTCCCCCTCTTTCATAAAACTTAGAGCAGACAGCCATACGCTTGTTAGTTTAGAATATATTGTAGCCATTTTTACAACAGGACACATCATATTCTAGATTCATTATTGACTGTACTTAGAACTTTGTGGGGGATTTGTTAAACGTGTTATGTCATTAATATCTTACAGTCATGATCTAATATAATAAATATTGATATTTTCCCTACAATCAAGAATATATGTTCAAGAACATGCAGGGTTGGTATGTTGAGGGGCGTATCTGCGCGGTCGAAGTGCGTGGAGGGGGAGGGGCGGGGCAATATTTTATAACAGCGCACAAGTAGAATTTTGGAGCTGCTACAGGAAGCACCAATCCAATACACCGTAGCTTTGAACACAGAATAGGGCATCTAAAGGTTGAATTAAAATACAATTATTATTGCCATGCCTCCAGAAATAAAATGAAATGGGATTTAACGTCCAACTGTTCTTCTACTGGGCTAATGAAGACGGGGATACACCATACAGTGTGCTATGAGGGTTATTTTGCCCGGACAGCGGTACTATGGTCTACTCTTGTTTCGAATTCCAACTGTCAAGGGGTTCTTTTACGTGCACGCCAATGTGTACACTGGGCCTCGTTTTTTGTCTCATCCAAACGAATTACTTGTATCTAGTTTTAATGAACTTCATATATCTCAAGTTTTCCATGATGAACCTGCATGTGGGCAAGAGTTTGTCACATGTTACTCCATCTGTGGTAGAAAGCGTTCGACCCAACGAAAATTTGGGAAAGGGTTAGAGACGGTCTAAGAGATTATAATTAACATTAAAGTCAGTGGGGAAATCATTGGTGAACTGTGTCCACATGTCTGCCAGTAAACAGGTGAAACAGATTGGCATCAGAACTTTTAATCACATTTTATGCAAAACGTCAACGAGAACACCAAAGTGCACGCGAGTTCTCCAATGTCATGGATAGAAACAATAAAATGAATACAGATAAAATGGACGAAGACCCACTGCAAGATACTTTTTTGGACATACATAATTATTAATGGCAACACAACGACCTTTACATTCGTCTATGATTGATTTTATTTCTTCTGGACATTGGTGTAAATACTTTTCTAGCGTAATTTTTCCATGAATCAATTTATCTTTACATGTAAAAAGAATAACTACAAAATTCATTACGTGTTCGCCAAAAATATCTTTCAAATTATTGATCGTGTCGCGCTCTTCATTTGTAAATCTACCAACGGTCATTACGAAGGCGAATACGTGCGGTCCTGGAGATGTCAGACCGATACAGCGAACCATTTCTTTTGCAGTTACCTTATTAGACTTCCTTGTATCGAACAGCCCTGGTGTATCAACTACGACAAGCTTGTGTCCATCTTCTAATATTCTGGTGCCAAACTTACATTGCGATGTAACAGACGTTCCAATTGCGGAAGACTCAAACGTCTTATTTTGTAGCAGGTTGTTTCCGACTTCACTTTTTCCTACTCCAGTTTTACCGACCATTGCTATTCTTATTTCTGGAAATGAAGAAATGATCAATTTAATATTCAAAACTAGCCTAGTTGGCGAAAAATGTATTTTCTAAGATTAATTTGGATCACATACAGCCAAAATAAAACAAAACTGTAACCATGTTTGCACAAAAATCAGTAAGACTCATTAGGATACAATTTAACCTGTGAGAACAAATTGTTTTTATTACAACAACGGATAAAACTGTGTAGATTATGGAAAACAATACCAGCAACAAAAGTCTTATCCACTACCCAATGTTATTTATTCATTATCTAAATATTCCACATGCCTGGATTTTTTTAAAAAAAAAAAATGGTCTTTCGAAAATTTGATAATGTTATATAATATTTCAAGTTTCAATTGATCTGGACCGTTTATATAAATTTTTAAACAATTTTTTGAATGCCTTAATTCTGATATACGAATGTGGATGTTGTTAAAACTAGAAAAGGAATGGGAAACGGAACGGGCGACAAAGTGTTTAGCAGACGGCAGTACTATTTATAAAATATTTATGGAGATACTTTAAAATCTACTTCGTGACCCTATATCATATCTACTTATAAATATATTATATAGGTATTTGTTAACAAAATACAATCGCAAAGAGGACGGCGTACCATGAAGAGTTTACACTACGAGACACTTACGTCATCAAAGCGGTAACAGGCCATAAAGTGTTATCTGGGAGTTCTAGAGATGGAACTTAGCATTAGATGATTTTCATAAAATTACCTATAAGTGTTTGTTATAGGCAACTCATTCAAACCAATAAGAATATTTTAACAAAGAAATTGACAGCTATCCTCAGCTTATGTAATATTATTGTATAAGCTTTCATAACTAGATATTAAACAAAGCAGTTCCGACTTCTTCCGATTGCAAAGTTTTTGATATTTTAAGCGAATATGAAACAAGACACAAAACAAAATGACGACAATAAAACTAGATAATAAATGTAGTTTGTAGAGCATTAACAAAAAGTTGTTGACATCTGATCTTGAGAAATGTTAATTTTACCCTGGGCCGGTACCTTTAAAATGTTTCAAATTAGTTTTAAAATTCTATGAGCTTGTATTTAAAATAAAGAGTTTACAGTAAAACTGAAAACGTTACCACGCTGTAATATTTAATGTTATCAACCGAAATGATCATATATATGAGAGAGAGGGGGGAGGCAAAATGGGGATTAACGTTCACTCGACACAAGCTAGGTAATTTCGGGACTAACATAAGGTACAATTTAATTTCAATAATTTGCTTGCGTGTAGGGGTCTTTAGCAGTACAAAAAACCCCACAAGGTTAGACAGGATACCCACTCTTTGTAACTTTTAAGCGGGGAATCTGATTTAACGCGCACGCGTAAACTACTCGGCCACCCAAACCCGCATTCCGTTATGTGTTCCGTTTCGACTATTAGCAACACCCGGACTGCTGGGAGGTGTAATAATTTTCAAATACAAAAAGTTTTGATTATGTCTATTGATCTCATGATTTTGTCAAAGTTTAGCGTAAATACAATGCTGCAGTCTAGATTCCAGGTAGATTGTCGAACCATAATTTAAATTTGACGCATTTTTCAATTATGGTTTACATAGTCAATATTTGGACAATCCTTTGGAATATTAAATCATATTCAACCAATCCATCCATTAATACTTTGTTGTCAGAAATATAAAAGAAATGAACTCGTCCCGGCTTGACAGAACCTCCATTGAATTCAGAGAGATAATTCGTGTTCTCGAATATTGTGATTAGCAAGTCCAAACTGAAAAAATACTTTATCCCACAATTACTAGAAATGCTACGATTTTAAACTGATAGTACACAAGCTAATTATGATGATCTGTCTTGGAATAAAACCACCGAATAAAATAACAATGGTTACTAGACATATATTTGTATTTGATAAATATTATCACCAGTTATCAATAATTAAGGCACATATATATTGCATTGTCCTTAGTTGGAAATAATTAGTAAGTACGAACCCTTCAAATCTTGTGTTGGGGAAGCGGCCATCGTCTGAAACTATAGAGAAGGAAACATGTATTTCTGTTTATTAGAAAATGAAAGGATTTATTTCATTGCCAGTAAATATTTAATTTTATCCTCGTGTTAAACATTGTTTTGCGTTATTGGTACTGAAGAAACATGAAATGGTTATATCTTTTACCTGTTTTGTTTCACTTGGAAATTCGGCCTGCAAGCCCATATAATTAAATTTGTGTTCTACAGTAGAATCTGTATGAGCAGCCACTCCTATTCAGCGACATCTCCTTGTAAGCGGTCACGATAAATTCCCCCCGTAGAAATTCTGTTGTTTCATCTCTTTATTCAACGGTCACTCCTCTAACGCGGCCAGCGGTCACTATTTTACTAATAAATTCAACAAAACATCGCCCATTCAACGGCCATTGTTGAATGATACCATCTTGTCGTTCTTTGTAACACCCCCGCTAATCCCGTGAGTAGTACACTGAAAAAAAACTTGTGTTGAAACAACACAAACTTGTGTTAAATTCAACACAAGTTAGGTGTCTCTATTTAACAACACAAACTTGTGTTAAAACAACACAAAACTTCTGTTAAATGTTGAAACAACACAAAACTTGAGTTAAAATGTATCAAACAACACAAAACTTGTGTTGAAACTTGTGTGAAATCTACACAATACTTGTGTTGAAACTTGTGTTGAAATTTCTGAAACTTGTGTTGAAATTTCTGAAACTTGTGTTGAAATTTCTGAAACTTGTGTGGTTTCATACAAACTTGTGTATAACCATCATCAAAAACTTGTGTTGTATTTTTCCCCAATTTATATCCAGCATAGCAACCTTTCTATGCAGGACCCCTCTCTTTGCTCTGTTAGACCTGTAAAGTTTGATAAAAGAAGGAAACAAAAAAAAAATTTGTATGATTATTATTTATTCATAAAATCATAGGAAAAAGTAAATTAATACATCAAAACTAAATAGATATTTGAAATGTTAACAGAAAAACAGAGACTTCAATTCTAATACAAATTATATTGTGTTATATATAATGACCCCTCCCCCCCCCCACTTTACCCATCACAAAATATAAAATAGCTATTTAAATTGTTTTTTGCCCCACACACTTTACCCATCACAAAATATAAAATAGCTATTTAAATTGTTCTTTACCCCAAAACAAAAACTGAGAATATAAAGATATGTACACAGTATCCCTACCCCATACCCCAAAATATATAATTCAAATATATCTAAATTTAATAACATCCAAACTAAGCACTAATAAGATTAATTATGCACTAAATTGAAACAATTTCAAAAACTGAAAAATGCTACAAAATCACACTACAAGTGATTTGTGAGGCATCTAGAAATAACTAGCATACACAGAAAACTAACAAAAGAAAATTGCTCTATTTTGCAGGACTAATAAAATGATGTAGAGCCTTTTCCTCATTAAAAAAAACCCAAACAAAATGAATATTTTATAAATAAAAGAAGCAAAGCATCAAGATTACAGGATTGAAATAAAAAAATATCATATGTACAAAAGATTTATATACAATCACAAGTCATAAGCCACAGTGGTTCAGTGAGCATAAGGCGTTGGCCGAGAAATTTCAACTGGATTTTCCGGCATAGTTCCCACTTTTCAGTGTTGGATATGGCAAGGGATAATTGGGTACAAGCCCAGAATCAAAAGAGAGAGAGACAGAGAGAAATGGGGTTTAACGTCTACTCGACACAAACTAGGTCATTTTGGGACTAACATATGGTTTAATTTTATTTCAATAATTCGCTAGCGCGTAGGGGTCTTTAGCAGTGGGAGGAAACCGGAGGTCCCGGAGAAAACCCACAAGATTGGACAGGCGATCCTACTCCTTGTCTACAACCCGGGATTCGAAACCATGCCAGTTGACTCAATGACAGGAGGCCGTATGATACAGCATGCACGTGCTAACCATTCGGCCATCCACCCCCACCCCCCAGAATTGAAACCAACCCAACTGCGTACGCTTTGAAGAACCCTTGAAAATTGAATTATTTGAATCAATGACAGACCTTCTGATCAAATGTGTGCGTGTTAACCATTCGGCCCCCCTGGGTACCCTTTAAAGAACCCTTGACAGTTGAAATATTTGATATAAGGGTAGGGTAGAATCACTAAGAACACAGAAAAGCAGGATATTAAAACGTATTTCATTTCATAAGCAAGGGAAAGTCACCTTAATGTAGGTCAAGGTTTTTTGTAATTCTGGGTGTATTTGATCTACATTTGGTTTCTAGTAATGCCTATTAAATACTTTATGATTTCCGACCAAATTCTAAGTGATTTATATGTCAGTTTACTTGCTATATTATGCATACATATTTGAAGAGAATTAAAATCTAATTGTGTTTTGGAAGAAAATTTAACATTAATAACAAAAAATAAATATTTAAAAATTGGGTCAAATGCATTCTTTCCCAGAAGTATAAAATAAATTGATGCTTGGGTTCTCTTGTTGTTATCATACATCAAATACTCTTTCAAGGGTGTTCCAGCCTAAAAAATAAAAAGTAGGCAATAAGAATACAATGTTTAAATAAACAATTTATTTTGCCACATCGAGACTGAGTCTCTATTTGGTTTCAACTTTGCGTAACGCTTATTGTGTCTTGTCCACTTAAAGACCCAGGCAGATTATTATGCTCAAATCAATGGGTTAAAAGTCAGAAAAATGAAATGAAATGGGGTTTAACGTCCTACTGTTCTGCTCCTATACTGGGCTGATAATGACGGGCATATGCCACACAGTGTGCTATGAGGGAATTTTTGCCCGGGCAGCGGCACTATCATCTATTCTTATATCGAATTCCAACTGCCAGGGGATCTTTTACGTGTATTCCAATATTCGTCTCATCGGAAGGACTAGACAGCTGTCTTTGTCAGGCCAAGTCAGAAAAAAGTCTTGAGATTTGGGATTGAAGTCTCATAATAGGTCAACTATTCACCCGGTTCATACATGTATTGTCTGCAAATCCAGATTCCCTACTACATCATTGGTAGCACCTATTTACTTGGCAATGTCTAATTATTTTTGGACCCATTCTTATTTTATTTCCATTGACAACAAATTGGATATTACCCTTTAAAATCTATTGAAATCTATTTGAAAAGTAAAATATTGTCCATCATTATTTTACTGCTATTTACTGTAATGGATGTGATTGGCGAAAATCAAGCATGCCAAGTACTTGAAATAGCTGAGTCCTAGGCATTGCCCCAAGAAGAATAACTAGATTACCAAGCAAGTGTATAAAACTACTTCCTGATTAAAAATACAAATATGTATGTTACTTACATTTTGCCTGATTATCAAGCTCTGTGAGAAAAGTTTCCACAATATGAATAGCCATTTCCAACTGTTTTTATCTTTCTGATGTAGTTAACTGGAAAAAAACATACTATGTATTAGATGACTTAAATTGACTCAACAGTTAAAAGATGAAAGTTTTAATTTACAGTCTATATTTTACACAAATTTCTGGAGAGAATTAAAATATAATTGTGTTTGAGAGGGATATTTAACATTAAAAACAAAAATAAAATGCAACTGATAACTTATTAGCTTTTACAATCACTATATTCTTTTTCAAAATTATAAGGAGATCATATGGCTAAGAGGGTACGACGCTGGCTCACTAGCCTGGAGGTCGGGTGTTCGATCCCTGAATTGGCTGAGAAAGTTCATCCAGATTTTCCGACGTGTCTTCCCCTTGTCAGTGATACAGGACGGAGGACCTGACAAGGACAGCTGTCTAGTCGTTTGGATGGGATAAAAAAACGAGGTCCTGTGTACACATTGGCGTGCATGTAAAAGATCCCTTGGCAGTTGGAATTCGATATAAGAGTAGGCTGTAGCGCCACTGCCCGGGCAAAAGTATGGTGTATGCCAGTCTTCATTAGCCCAGTTTATGAGCAAAACAGTACGATGTTAAACCCCATTTCATTTCATTTTCAAAATTATAAAATAATTTGATGGCTTAATATTCAAGTATTATGACCAGGTAGAATTAGAGCATAGTTAATTTGAGGCCAGAGCCATTATAGATTAGCCAGAATCCTAATTAAAATAAACTCTGTAATTATATTAGAGAGACATTGTTTCATAAATTATTATCTATTGTAAAGTTATTCCAGTAAGGTATTAAGGATTATATTGTAACTAAAAACAAAGCTAAGGTATAAAAGTCCTAAAAATTGTATATATACTATTCACAAAAAGTAGGGGATATTTGATTTTTAAGTGTTATTAAAGTCACCTAATGAAACTGACGAAGAAACAAATGACAAAATGAAATGAAGTTCACATTCATCGATTTATTCCAAATGATCGTTAGACTAAGTAAGGCACAGACTGACCATTATAAGGGTAAAATGATACCCGGGGTCAAACAGCAAAGTTACCACAGCATCACAACCAAGTCAGTAACGGGTAAATCCTCCTCTGTTTGCCAAACAAGCATTGATCCGACGTGGCATACTCCTAATGAGACGTCTAAGGTCATTTTGGTCCAGATTGTCCCATTCCTGTTGCAACGCAGCAGCAAGTTCTTGGACATTGGCAGGACGTTGTTGACGTTGACGTAACCTCTGTCCAAGCATGTCCCAGACATGCTCGATGGGGGAGAGGTCGGGACTCAGTGCTGGCCAAGGTAATGTGGTGATGTTCTGTTGTTGGAGGTAACCTGTAACGATCCTGGCCCTGTGACATCTTGCGTTGTCATCCTGGAAGATGAAACGGCGGCCATGACGTCGTGCGAACGGCACAACATGGACTGCCAAGATGTTGTCCCGGTAGTACTGGCCTGTAACACGCCCTGCAACAACATGTAAAGCCGTTCTTCCAGCAACAGTGATGCCTCCCCACACCATAACAGAACCACCCCCAAATCGATCATGTCTGATGACGTTAACGTCTTGGAAGCGCTCGTTTCGACGACGCCACACCCTCCTACGTCTGTCCAAAAAATCAACAGTGAACCTTGACTCATCTGAAAACATCACATTGCTCCAGCGTCGATTATCCCAGTGTTGACGATCCCTACACCAACGACGTCTTGCCTGAATGTGATGATCTCTCAAACAAGGGATCACGCGAGGACGTCGGGCGCGAAGGTGACCCCTATGCAGTCGATTCCGAATCGTCTGGCCACTCACTCTCACACCAGTGTCTGTTTGAAGACGAGCGCTGATCTGATTTGCTGTGATGACACGATTTCTCAAGGCCAAGGTACGGATAAATCGATCCTGGGCTTGAGTTGTCGCCCTTGGTCGACCTGAGCGTGGTCTGTCCTGTACAGATTGTGTATCACGGTATCTGGACCATAGCCTGCTTATGACAGACTGAGAAACATTCATCGTCCGCGCCACAACCGCCTGTGTTGTGCCGATCTGTAGCATGCCAAGGGCACGTAACCTTTCATTTTGGGTAAGCCGACGCATATCAAAATTTGTTTTCTGGTCACTAAAACAATTAAACTGATGTTTCCACCCTGGAATTCAATGCCACAATGACTGTAACATTCAAAGTCAGAGTCGTGCAAATCTTGGGTTGGACCCCCATGATGATCCCAAGCATCACCTGCATTCCATGCGGTAGCTATTGGTGCGTTTGGGCGTCACATGTAACTGGAAATGTTTCTTCTGTTAGGTTCTATAGTGACTTTTTTCGTAGTCATTTGCATATTTTAGTATTATGCCCCCAAAATCAAATATCCCCTACTTTTCTTGAATAGTATATTAGAAAAAGGCGAGTTAACCACAGGCAGGCAGCAGGACATACTGAAGGGCAGGTCTCTGATATAGTGACTAGTTATTTCTTAGATGCTGTTCCTTATTAAGTTACCTATCCTGTGGGTCAGTATTATATGTATATATTATCTTTGTTAGATATTGTTACAGAATATAAGATTATACTAAGAGAAGTGAGTTATTGAATTATTGTATGTTCAATCGTACACCTCCAACTAGATTGAACATACAACCCATCGTCGAAGGTTGGACTATAAGTAGGTCCATAAACCCTGGATGACAGTATGTGGTTGAGTTGGCAATAAATATACTTTCTACGGTTCACAATTTTTAAATAAATAACTTATTTTTCCACACGTTGAGTCTCTATTTTGTTTCAACTTTGCATAATACTTATTGTGTCTTTTCAAGTTACAGACCCAGGTAGATTATTATGCCTCAATGGGTCAGAAGCCAGAACAAAAGTCTTGAAAAAAGACAAAATGAAAAAATAATCATTTAATTTACCAATTATCTCCACTAAGGCAGTGGTGAATACAGTATTGCAAACAGTATTACAATATGATATTAATTATATTTTACAAATTCATGCATTTGAACGCTTTATAATAATGATTATGAAAGGGTGTAACATTGCATCCATCTTATAGTTTTGAGGTCATATTGGTCTTTAGCAGTGGGAGGAAACCGGAGGACCTGGAGAAAACCCACGAGGTTGAACAGGCAACCCTACTCCTTGTCACGTACAACCGAGGATGACAGGCCGTATGATACAGCACGCACATGCTAACCATTCGGCCATCCAACCCCTCCCCACCAAGTGTATAGAACCAGTTCCTGATTCAAAAAGCAAATATGCATGGTACTTACATAGCCTTTGTCTGATAAGCAACCTGTGTAAGAAAACACTTCCACAATATCAATAGCCCTTTCCAGCTGTCTTGATCTTCCGAGGTGGCTAACTGAAAAAAAAATATGCAATGTATTACATAAGTTGGCTTAAATTGACTAGACAGTTTTGATTAAGTAAAAAAATGTTAATTTAACCACATTTGTTTTCCTTATAAGACATATAGAAATAGATTTCACTAAAAATAAAACACACTTATATGGATATACTACTTCTGAATTTATTAACATGCTACGTTTCGATACACATACAGATATCGTTTTCAAGCAAATAATGAAAATCAACAATAAATGTGGTACAATATATAGGTAACAAGTGGAAACCATTTAACAGAATAATCAATGCTATCAACAACGCATTATCAAGATCAAAGAAGTTATATAAATAACATGATGAAAGAATAACACTAATAATACAAAAGGAAGAGATTAGAGGATAATTGACTACTAATAATACAAAAGGAAGAGATTAGAGGATAATTGACTACATGAAACCGTAACATCAAGACGCTAATTAACTATATGAAACCATAACTATAAGATGAGATGTTTTGTTTCATGTGTTGGTTTGCTTTGCCACAGATGAGACAGTCATATCTAACTAAGATTCTGTCTGTGCTCATACATGTACGTGTACAGTTTTACTATACTAAACTGAATTTTAGATTTCAAAATAGCATAACAGCAATCTTTTCTATAAGAATTGAATAGTTACCCACCAAGAAAAAGCTGCTCTATCATCATTTTTTCCAGCCATTTCTTCTTCCATTTTTTTACTTTTATAATTTCTTTTGTTACATGATCTTTTCCTGGGTGATTTGCATATACATCCAATATTGAAACTGAAAAAATAAATACATGATATGTAATTTACCATTAAAGCTACCATACCATATATACAAACTGTGTGATTTGAAATTGAAACTAATGTATCTATATGTATCAAAAATTTTAATCCCAAGGAACTACCTAAGCCGTAAAAATCTATTTTTATAATCCTTGTTTGTCACATGGTTTCAATGTCGCAGTAATTAGAAGACGACCATGGTGACTGAGTGAGTTAGGTGTTGGAATACTAGCATGGAGGCCACAGGTTACCTCTTGGGGTTGACCGAGAAAGCTCATCTTGATTTTTCAGAGTGGTTTCCCCTGAGATCCAATGTACACATTGGCGTACACATAAAAGTTCTCTTGGCAGTTTGAATTCGCTATGAGAGTAGGCCATAGTGTCGCTGCCTGGACAAACATTTTCTCTTAGCACACTGCATTAGACCAGTCAGAGCTGAACAGTAGGACGTTTTCTTTAAACCCCATTTCATTTCAGGCAATCTAGTATTTTTCTAGTAAGATTGAAGTCTCTCTACTTTCTTTATATGTAAATATCATATTTGAAATAAGCCATACTTTTATTCAATATGGGGTGGGGCTGGGGGGAATGGTCTAGTAGTTAATGCATTCACATGAAATCACAGGGTCTGTCATAGTGTTAAGTGGCATGGTTTCGATTTCAAGGAGTAGAGTCGCCTGTCCAATCTCTTGAGTTTTTCTCTGGGCCATTCGGTTTCCTCCGTTTACTAAATACCCATACCAGCAAACGAATTATTCATATCAAATTTAACCTTACCTGTCCTTTTTCCCGAAACGACCTAGCGTCTGTAGGCTAAGTAGAATGGAACAGTGTGCAGGGAAAGGGTGGAAACGGAAGAAAGCTAATCGTCGTCGTAGTTGATTACCGGTATGCATATAGGCATAGCTTGGACTACTTGATTCTTCAAATACAAGTACACGTAAGGCCTTGTTTATGTCATTTTTCTCTCTCTGTTGCATGTAAGTGTCATATAAATACTTTACTTGGGATTGTATGTTCACATACACTAATCATTGTAGGACATTGGTAAAAAAAAAATAGAAAATATAAAAATTAAATGAAATTGTTACCAGTTTTTCTTCAAATTCCAATTCAATGCCAAAATGGAGTCCTTGAACGGTAAATTCTCAATACGGTAATTGCTGTAACTGTAAGGTGGAATGAGTCATATCATCACTGACTGGAAAAAATAATGAAACTATCGAGAAACTTCCACAGACTGATTCTAGTTCCATTATTTATTATTTATTAACTGTGACTGAATCAGGAAAATAGGGGCCTAATAATATTCCACAGAGTGACAGAGTCAGAGGTTGAACGGAGGGTTTGGGGAAAATATCTGCTTATTTGATTTAAGGTTGTTTTTTTAAACATAAATTAGATTACAATTCAACTAACACAAAAGTGTAAAAAGATTTTTTCTAGTCTGTGCCCGCGTTTATGTCTACTCTTGGCAAAATCTTTATAATATAAAAAATCATGAAACAAGAATCAAAATGGCCGCCAATCCAATCCAACCTCCCAAGATATAATTTCAAAACAGATTCTTACCTGCTGGTTCAAGTCGAGCCGTTTCTGGTTTAATCATAATGTGATTCTGTAATGTACGTATTTGAACAACATCGTAGCGCCGAACAACTAATGTTAATTAAGCACGATTTCAGAAAAATTGAACAGATTTGATAATAACATGCCGAAATTTTTTCCCTGTCCCCGCCCGCCATTTTAAACATGAACTTCCGGGTTAAATTGTTGGAGTTTTTTTTAAGGAAACGAAATACTAATATTATACACAAAAACAATATCGATGCTAAATTACATACATAGAGGATATTTGTCGTTTTAGAGTGAATAACATATTTTATTTCATCGAGAAGCAAGAAAACTTATATTTTCACGAATGCGTAATGTTCTATTTATTTTATGATTTTACAATCATTTTAGGTAAAAACAACTAGCCAGTGGAATAACACTTTTATTTCACTGATAAAACACGGTTTTCCACTACTGATCATAAAATAAATGGTATTATTTTTTTTTTATATAAATATTCAAAAACCTGCGGTCTTTTATTCTCTGTGACCATTAGCTTACATTTGTCAAACATATCACTGCTCAAAAATCATTTCAGCACGCTGTTAAATGGTAAATGAATTGTGTGCAATCAATTCATTTAATGTCCGGTTGCACCGAGATGATATCGCAGACAAACTGTAGCCTATAGTACGTTGATTTTATCAACCAATCACATTCAATAACAGTTTTACTTATTTTCTTGTCAACGCATTTGGAGTCAATTGTTAAAATCACACCGGGCATGAGCGCTCAATAGGCCTTTGATCTACCAGTTTATTGGGCCCATAAAAAATCAACAACTTTATTTTAACTACAGACATCTTAACACCAATTAGCATTCAAGTCTGTCTGGCCATCATGTCGGAGTAAAAAATACTTTTCTTATACTTGTGGACGCCCGGATTAAGACTTTGTATGGAGTTCAAATTTAAAAAAAAAATATTTGTTGACGGTACACATTACTTGTGTTAATTATATGAAAAAACCCACAAGATTTGTGTTAATGCATTAAAAAGAACACAAGTTTGTGTTAATGCAATGCAAAACAACACAAGTTTTGTGTAGAATAATTTTCACACAAGTACTTGTGTTGAGATCCAACACAAGTTTTTTTTCAGTGTAGTTAATTAACTGGACCCCCACTGATCAGGTAAAAAGAAATGTAAAAATAACAATCAACCCGGGATTATCTGTTAATTAATCTTTTGTTTTATTAAACGACTAACCTGATCATTGTTTTCACGCGTAACGACACATTATTTGATACTGATTGAATAAAATAAAAGTACCGAGTTTTGTCACGATCATCTAGTATCTCTCTTAGCGCCTCCTATAACATTACATACAGAGTTACACCCCCTGTAAATAGGTGATAAAATTAACGATGTTTTTTGTTCATGTGCTTTTTTGATAAAATAAAATGAATTCATCGATTTTCTTCACAAAAATGGATAAATATTATCGAATGCATCACAATGGTAGACAGTAGTATCGAAGGTTGGTACAAAATGACAAGTTTACAGAAGTTATGTCCGAGATTTGAGTAAAGAATTTTCGTTCGGCGCAAGATTCAGCGACGGCCAAATTTACCGCTTCCAATGCATCCAAGCGTAATATTTAATTGATGTCGGCACAAAAAGCAACGAGATTTTATTAAGAGGCCACTCCCGTTAAGTTATGTCCGAGATTTGAGTAAAGAATTTTCGTTCGGCGCAAGATTCAGCGACGGCCAAATTTACCGCTTCCAATGCATCCAAGCGTAATATTTAATTTATGTCGGCACAAAAAGCAACGAGATTTTATTAAGAGGCCACTCCCGTTAAGCGGTCAGTTGTGAAAATTCCCTTGGGTGGCTGCTTAATGCAGTTTCAAAACCTGACATGATTTAATACCTGAAATAGATAAACATCGTCCTTCACTCGAATAATAATGACCCTATGATCGTCCTTTAGGCATCGTTGTATTCTTTGAACAAGTTAAACTAAAATTTATATGTGTTAAAATGCGCTCCAAATATCACATGTGACTGACAAATCGTATATTTGGGGTGGGTTTTCTTTGCAAGACGCCCCAAGTATCGCTTGTTATGCGCCTTCCTTTTGCAAACGCCTCGTGAATGTGTAATTGGCTTGTGTTGAAAATAAAAGAGTTTGTGTTGCAGATACGTCACGACTCGTTCATGCCACGGGGTCGTGATTCTGTTGTTGATACGTTGCGACTCATTCATGCCACGGGGACCGAATTCCTCGACTAGTGCATAAGGACCAACGTACACGTAATAGCAAGACTTGTGGAAAAGTTTGCAAAATAGCTAAAAGTATGTAGTATTTCTACAATTGTCTAAGACTTATGTCGTGTTTCCCCGTGACCAAAAAAATCAAGCTATTAAGGTTCCACGATGGAACTTGTATTCTTCTAAGCAAGGCATTTCCTTAGTCACAAATATCCCTCCCTCAAGAATTTGATCTAGGTATTGCCCCAAACGGAACTTCGGCAGGGGAATTCCCTAGATTTAGTACGTATTTCCGAGGGTAGACAATAATTTCATTATCAATATTACCTTGCTGCTTAAAATAATGGGGGATTGGATGGCCGAATGGTTAGCACGTGCGTGCTGTATCATAAAGCCTGTCATTGAGTCAACTGGCGTGGTTTCGAATCCCCGGATGTACGTGACAAGGAGTAGGATCGCCTGTCCAATCTCTTGGGTTTTGTCCGGGTCCTCCGGTTTCCTCCCACTGCTAAAGACCCCTACGCGCAAGCGAATTATTGAAATAAAATTAAAAACCATATGTTAGTCCCGAAATGACCTAGTTTGTGTCGAGTGAACGTTAAACCCCATTTCTCTCTCTCTCGCTTAAAATAATACCAAGTTTATCATCGAACCTGAACTGAGGACAGTCGCAACAAACTGAAGAGTACCCCATTCTAAGACGATCCAAGAAGTACTATATTATTCCCGGGTATGTACAAGGTACATGTATCGTTGGACTCTATTACTTGCATTATTTGGTAGGATGAAAGCAAAATCAATGATTGTTTTGGCCATTTGCTTATTGTGGAAAAGGATATATTACATTGACAAAACTTGCATCAATTTTTAGATTTATTGATCATTATATTGAGTAAGAGTCTTGATAATTTCCATATGTTATTGAAAAATGTAAATAATACATGATTGTCATATCTGATGCTAGTCAATGACCGTCTAAGACCCTTTTACTTAAATGGAGCTAAAACACAATTCAGTAGCAAGCGGAGGCTAGTATGCATATCACATGTGATGTAAGATATTTGCTCTTGACAATACTATAGGCATTTAGGGATAATTCTGGAGTGAATGCAGGTGCAATTATTTCTTTTGCAATTTATGGTTGATTGATTGACCTATTATAGGTTTTAGTAAATCTTTGTTAATTTTGATTTTGAATCAACCGCACATTTCCGAACTACAGGGGCGTTCATAAGGTTTTCGGGAGGCGGAGGGGGCAACTCCTTAACGAAAGCCACAGAGCGCTGAAAGTCGCAGAATTCGGAACATCGATAGGGCTCGTCCCTTTGTGAATCAAATGCTTCAAGCTATGTTTGAAAATAATTCGTTGAAAAGGAGGATAACCCCAGAATGAAAAGTCACAGAAGGCTGAAAACTATTAGGATTTGTCGTAGAATATGTTTTCTTCCATGATAAAGACTAACGAAATTTAAAAGATAGCTTCTATCGCGTTCACAAGGTTTTGAGGAAAAGTTGAATAATTCCGGAACGCTGAAAATCAATAGGGTTAAATCCTCTCATGACCCCAATGCTCTCAACAAAATTAAAAAAAAAAAACCCAAAAAACCCGTTAAAAACTAAAGCCCCTATTGTGATCACAAGGTTTTCAGCAAAATGGTATAACTCCGGAACTGAGAGTCAGGAAACATTGAATATCGAAAGGGTATGTATGGAGAGGAAATTTCCTAACCTAGTAATACATATTGTAATATGCTTACTTCTATGCATGTAACTTCTTACTAACATTTTATTTCAACGGATTTTTGTCACTAAATAACGAACCGCTTCCATATTTAACGTTCTATGACTTTCACTTTTGGGGTTACCCCTCCTTGTGAACGAGATATAGGTTTTACTTTTTGATGGATTGGTTTTTTTTTTCAAATTTAGTGTGAAGCGTTGTGGTCACGAGAGGACCAACCTATAGAGCGGAATTTCCCTAATAATTCTAACTTCTAAACTAATAATGCGTATGCTAATATGCTTACTTCTATGCCCGTAACTTCTTACTAACTCGTTAAATTGGCTATTTACACATGTATAAATTTATATGACTTATTTCTTAAATATTGCATATTGAATACGTATTTTGTTCTATTTCCATTTTACTCTTAATTTATTGTAGCCAGTTTAGCTTCGTTAACATATTGACATTTCACAAATGTTTCGCGGTAAAGGTGTCATAAAGCTCATTTGTAAACAGATGGCGCTGTTAACAATTGTATAGTGGTTCATTGGGCACATGTAAAATCGCGCCTTTTTCATAACCCGACCGATATTTTATTTACATATTATATGAATTCCAAATCTGTGATAATGTTTTAATTTGTCTCGTTAAATTCACCATATATTTAGCGCAATATAGCCCGGTTGGAGCTGACGTGCCATAAAACTCCATATCATTCATTCATTACCCGACAGACATGACGACATTTTTCTGTCAAAAATATTAAAGTATTTTACGTAGAAAGGCAAACTATTGCATATATATTTTTGGGGGGATAAATAAATAGGCTATTTTATCGTGCATTTCACAAATAATGCACTATCGATTGTTTTAGCCTATTTGTTTTCTAAAAGAACAATATATAGCAAGTACCCATTACGTCATGCATGAAAGTTATTAAATAAATATAAATCGCTAATGCTTGGTTTAGCTTATCTCTTCCCCTCATAATTATGAAATATTTCTTGTATCATTGAAGTAATCTGGCTTTATATCGGGTCAGGCGTCCAAATCAACGAGAGCTGCGGTGTCTCGGTGATTTAGTCAATGACTCGGTAACCAGGAGGTCCCAGGTTCGCACCCGGAGTTGGAAGAGACAGTTCCTCGGTCAGTGGTGCAGGACAAAGGGCCAGACGAAAACCCAATAGCGTGCACCAAGTGTACACTGAAAAAAAACTTGTGTTGAAACAACACAAACTTGTGTTATTTTCAACACAAGTTAGGTGTCTCTATTTAACAACACAATCTTGTGTTAAATGTTGAAACAACACAAAACTTGTGTTAAATGTTGAAACAACACAAAACTTGTGTTAAATGTTGAAACAACACAAAACTTGTGTGAAAATCTACACATTATTTGTGTTGAAATTTCTGAAACTTGTGTTGAAATTGCTGAAACTCGTGTTGTTTCGTA